TACTGCTTATTCATCCCAATATCTTCTTTATTTCTGCTATGTCATTTTTTATTTATGCTTGGTTGTTTTTAATTTTCAATTGGTTGATTTTCATTGTTTGTATATCTTTATACATGCTGTTGAGTTTCCCCATAATCATTATTCTGAATTCTACCTCTGGTAATTTGCTGATCTCCATTTCATTTAGCCCTTCTTCTGTAAAATTTTCTTGTTTTTTCATTTGGGATTTGTTTATTTGCTTCATCATTTTGGTTGTCTCAGCAAGGTTTGGAGCCTGCCAAAATACCCCTGGGAGTATCCATGTTCTCCAGAATGTGGCTCCCTCTGCTGGGTTCGGATGAGTACGAACGGGACCACGCTGAACACCAACGTCTAGTCTTACTTTCCCGGGTAGAGTCTCAGGCGAGGCAGATTCATTTATCCCTGAGCATGGCTTCCAGGATGACTGTTAGTGTCAGTTACGTAATGAGCCTGGGGTTGTGGTTCTGGCTGGGCAGGTTTAACTCTCAGGGGACGGCAGTTGCTTCTCCGCGGGCTAAAGCTACTCTGATGGAGAGGGGCTGCTTGAGGAGATGTTGGCTGCAGTTGGGTTAACGGCTCAGCACAGGGACTCAGGCCTCAGCCGTCACCGCTCAGTCCCCAGAGCCATGAGGCCAAACAAGGTTCCAAGAGCCAGGCCCAAGCTTCAAAGCCTTCACGTCTCTGCCTACTGGCTGGTGGGCAGTCCCTGGCAGTGAATGAGCCGCAGGCTGCACATCTCCCGCCGGGGCGAGGTTGATTTCCCAAGGGAGGGGCAGTTGCTTCTCCCCTTGGCTAAAACCTCTGTGATAAGAAGGGGTTGCTTGAGAAATACGGCTGCGGCTTTGGGGAATGACTCAGCACAGGGCTCCTGATGGCTCCTTCCCAGCTCTCTTCCCACTGACACAAACCCCCGACTCTTCACAAAGCCCCGTCCAGTCCGTCCTCCCTCTGCTGGAGCCCAAGGGGAGCTGTAATTCTGGGCCGGTGTTGCCAGCACCCCTCTCTGCAGGACAGGACCTCTGCTCTGGTGATTGTCTCGGCCACGTTTACACAGGTGTCTCTCCCTGTCCCGCCATCTGTGCTGGGGATCTGTCTTGCGGTCGAAACCCCTGATGTCTCAGAGGGGGCTTCTCACAGCTAAGACAGCCCCCAGCTGCTGCCTGGGGGGGCCCAGCCAGCCCTCGCAGGCCTCTGCACCTCCTACTGTCTTGATGGGGGTCCCCTTAACGTCCCCGGTTATAAGGGTTCTCTCAGCTGCTCTTCAGTTGGTTTTTCCAGATGTCTGGTCTTTATTTTCGTTGTAATTCATGTTTGGTCTTGGGAGACGGTCTGTGTAGCTTCCATTTACTCCGCCGCCTTCTTAATCCTTGGAATTTTTCAGTCTTTAATCAGCAAAGTAGATTCAGTGTTCAATGTGCTCATGTTTCCTTTCTTTTTTCTTTTTTTTTTTGTTCTTTGTTTTTCTCTCCGTGTTTTCTTTGTTTTTATGTTGATTTTTCATTGTCCCCTCTTCCCTTTCTTCCTTTCTCTCCATCCCTGTCCGTCTCCTGGTTTATTTGCGTTACCTGGAGGTATGCTCACCCTGCCCGCGGTCCCTTCTGACCGACACCCCCAGGGGAGGAGCCTGTCCTGTGTCTTACACCTGACACTGGTCTTTCCCAGGAGCCCCTCTCTAGATGTGCCTGAGGACTAGAGGCCTGGCTCCTGTGTCCTGTCCTGAGCCACAGGGACGACGGCCTCCTGCCAAGTCCCAGGCCTGGGGGGAGCGGGGTTCACGCAGGCGCAGGGCATCACAGCCGGTTCCGTCCCCGGCGCTGCTGGCCAGCTCCAGCACCAAGCCGGCCCGCACGCTAACGTACCTGTCAGAAGACGGTGAGCTTTCAAATTCACAGGTGTCCCTTACATTTACACATGACACTCTGGGGAAAAAGAAGAAGAAGAAACGCCTATCCTTCTCTTTTGATAACCTTTAAAAAAGTTTCAAAAGCTTGATCTCATGATTATTTATACAGTCTGAGTCACGAAATCCCAAATATCGAAGAAACTGTGAAAATTATCTAATCGAATCTAATTTTTACGAGGGAAGAATGTGAGATCCGGTGTCACCGATTTAAAAATAACTACGCAAAACGGAAAACGCCCCAAACCACAGCGGAAACGGAGAAGAAAAAACGAGGAGGAGAAAGGGGTTAAAGTTGAAACGTAAAAACAAACAACAAACGAAAAAGCCCCAAAGTGACTAAGAAACTTTACTACTATATGGGGACCAATTAAAATGTTAATTGAATATGTACAGCAGATGCAGAAAAGAATTCAAAAATTAATGAAGCCTGAATAAAAATAACTATGGATCAGATTTTTGGGGTATTTTTCTTGTCTCCATCTTTTCAGTTTTTCAGTGTGTTTTTCTAGTTTAAAAATGCGTATCCAAAGTTCTCACTGTGGCCATAATGTCTTTACAAGCAAAATTTGTGTTCTGGGAACAAACAGTCTGACTTCTTTATGCAGCTTAAGTAAGTCAGGAGCCCCAGCTGGCTGCTGATGGATGATAAGAGCGTTGAAATGTTGAGGTTAAATGTATTACTGCGATTGCATAAGAGGAATCTGATACCTTTGCTTAGAAAAGATCACAGTTTCATACACAACCACTCTCCTCCGGGTCTTACTGTTTATTCTTTAGCAATTCACAAATAGTCCGTATCCTTTGGGATTTAATTTCCTTTGCCCAGGACTGTTTTTCTCCTTTTATAAGGTTGATCGCAGGCCTTCAGGGTGATTTGCAGGCAGAAGAGCTTCACGGAGGAATTATCTTGTTCGTGGCTGGAAACACCTTCTTTCTTAGACTCCAGGCTCCTGGCCTCTTCACAGCGGCCCAGGGCCTGGAGGGCGACTCCGTCACCCGGACACAGCGCTGGTGTGGTCCCGACCGACACGATTCTCCTGGTGCCCGGAGCACGCACGCTGAACAGCAATCAGACTCTCCTCCTTCATTCATTCAAGCATCGTTTTCACCTGCTGGCCCCCAACTTAATTACGGCAGTCGTCTTCCACGTCGTTCCTGAGTCAGGTGTTGGTGAGATCAGTGAAGAGGAGCAGATCCGTGAGGGCGCATCTGCCTCTGGAAACCCAGACTCGGCTGGGGACCGATTGTGGCTCTGTGACTCAACACCGAGCATCACATGACTTACTAAGGAGAAGTAGAGACCATAGGAACGGTGATACGCAACATGAAATAGTCATAAAATTGGAAAATGTGTTAGCAATGCATAACACACAAAAAGGTAGAATTTTGCCAGACGCAGCTGCATAGGTGAAAATACTTTCATTGGGGCTTAAAGATTATCTTGTGAAGAACTTGAGGATGGAGATAAGTATGTCCAGATAAGTTTATGCTACAAAGTTTATTTTTTGTTGTTGTTGTTGATATATTTAGAGAGACAGAGGAAGGGAGAGGGAGAGAGAGAGAGAAACATCAATGAGAAAGGACATCGATTGGCCGCCTCCTGCACGCCCCCCACTGGGGATCAGCCCACAACCTGGGCACTTGTCCTGACCAGGAATCGAACCGGCGACCTCTTGGTGCAGGGTCGACGCGCAACCACTGAGCCCCGCCGGCCGGGCTATGCTAGAAAGTTTAATAAAGGTGGGCGCCCTAGAGCTACAGGGAAAGAGAAATCACTGCCGTATTTTGGGTTACAGAGGGACGTGTCTCTTGGGCCAGTGCTTGAGTCTAGATCCTTGCTGCTCAGGATGGGCCGAGACCAGGAACACTGGCATTAACTGGACGCTCCTGAGAGAGGCAGAGTCTCGGGCCACTGGTGCTGAGTGAGAATCTACATATACTGGTGTGATTCGTGAGGATGTTGTAATAATCGGGCTGTTATTTCACAGGAAAGGGGAGAAGGGCAGATAAATAATGCAGGCATGCCACACACAGTCTCGCCAGAGGGCTACAGTTCAACCCTCCAGGTCTGTCCCCCCTAATCCACGGGCATTTCGGCCGCGTGCCCGGTGAGGTCTGGGTGAGGTGGGGGTGTTTCCCCGTCTGTCACACCTGGGAGCCGGCAGCGGCCGGAATGGGCGTGGCCACTGCAGCTGGGAAACCTGAGTGTTTAAGCTCCGGGACGAAGAGAAGCCCTCTGCCCTCTTCCTGTCCCCTTGCTGCCTGAGCCCGACCCCTGGCCTGCAGGCCCCCCGCCTGCACTCGCCGTGGCCCACGGCCGTGTGGACTGCGGACAATGGGCTCAGGGACCTGGGCTGGGCCTGGAGGAAACATGGAGCGGAAACTCGGCCCAGCGGCCCTGTTTCTAGCTCCAGGGAACCCTCAGCTGCCTGGCAGGACCGAGTGAGGCACTGGCTCTTCAGCACCGAAGGGACATCACTCCACGCAAATGAAGCCTTTACCGCCGTCGCGTCCGGCCACGGGGGCTTTGAAACGCTCAGTTTGGTGGTGCCCCCCGCACCCCTGTCTGGGAATCTGGCCCCAGTTTCTCCGGAAACACTACAGAGGCTAAACATTTGATAAACACTGGCTTAAAGAATTTTATGTCTAGTGAAGTTATCGTTAGCTCCACTGTATCTGATAAACCCTTAATAAGTAGTTTTAATTCAATGGTGGTTTATAGTTGGAGGGTTGTGGATCCTGGGAACGCATGTGTGTGTGTGTGCGTGTGTGTGTGTGTGTGTGTGTGTGTGTGTGTGCGCGCGTGCGCAGGAGTTTGTTTACGGCAAATCCAGCTGTGGTGGTGTAAGAACTGGGGTGGCAGGGACCAGCCACGGGTGGTGTTCGTAAAATCTGGGTGAGCAACGGGGTCGCCTCCGGCACTGCTGATGCGGTCAGGCCGGTGAGTGACCTCGCTGCTGCTGGCCCCCAGGTGGACTGCTGACAACCACGGCCTTACAGACAAGAACGCTGGGGTGACACGGGACAGTCTGCACGTTTTCTAATTTCCTCTGTATTTCTCTCCTTTCCTTTTCACCAGGGAAGAACACAAAGGCAGAGCCCCCACCACCACGGATGGTGCACTCGGGTCCCCACATTTGGGGACACCACAGGGGTCTGCACATCCAGGGTGCGATCGATGAGCCTCACCCGGGGACAACCACCTTTGTCATCATGGTGTCTCCCTTGCCAGATAAGTTCGTCCGTCCTTCCTTCCTTCCTTCCTTCCTTTCTCTCTCTCTCTCTTTCTCTTTCTTTCTTTCTTTCTTTCTTTCTTTCTTTCTTTCTTTCTTTCTTTCTTTCTTTCTTTCTTCTCTCTCTCTCTCTTTCTCTTTATTTAAGGTCAGTCCTCTTGTAGAGGTTACAAACAGGCACATTTACTTGGGCGACAATGACTTCGAGGAAGCTGCTAGCAACCGCACACATAGCAGGTGTTCCGTGGTGCAGACGAGCGTAATATTTAATTACAGGAATAGAGGTAAAGATACAGAAGTGGTCCTGGAGTCACCGAACTCCTGTGTGGGCAGGAAAGCGGAACACAGCTCGGGGGCGTCCGACGATGAGGTCTGACGGATCAGCTCCTCGGGCACGGGTGCCAGTGAGCGGCCGAGACCAGGAGGGGTCACTGGGTTACAGAGGGAGTGAGAGGCACGGTAGACGGTGACGGGCCTGGGCCGGGAAAGGAGAAAAAATGATCACACCGAGTTTCTGATAAATCCTCACATGATGCACCACCGTAGCCTTCATCGTGACTGCAGTGAAGTGTCAAATCATACGCACTTATATCATAGCTGTGGATGTTGTTGTGCTTAAGACAACATAAGCCTTGGAACAGACCACTGGAACGTGAGTCCTTTGTCTGGTGCTTCTCCATTGCGTAAGCATTAGTGAGCTACTACATTTCCAGTGTGCGTTTACCCTGATGTGTAAAATGGAAATTATAGAAACAATTTTCTTATAAAATGATTATAAAATCACATAAATTAATAAAAGTACACAAAAGTACAGCAGTTCCTAGATCATGGCGTGTGTTGAATAAATGTGAGATATTACTATTATTACATAAACGGATATATTTACACTAATAAGGACACGTGTATACACACCTGTACCCATATACATGCACAACTTACCGTCTTATACACAACATAGCATAAGTTTTTTCACTGTCAGCTTATTGCAGAGTATTGTGTCATGCCAAAGCATAAATGTTTATATATTATATAACCTGATTTTAATTAAAATAGTGTCACAGATTTAAAGATTTGTTTTAAGAGATTTCTGTAAGACATTTACATTAAAAAGACAGTAACTCACGCATAGGGAATAGCAATAAAATAAGTAGGAACTAATTAAGTGGATCAGCCCTATTAAAAGATTCAAACGTAATTCAGATTTCATCTTCTCTGAGAACACATTGGTTAGAAAGCCGGAGAGGAGTCAAGAAGATGGGTGGTGGAGAAACTTTAGGTTCTGTCTTCCACACACTATCTTGACCAACACCCCCCTCGGTCTGTCCAGTCCAAAGCGTCTCCTTTCCAGTCGTGAAATCGCCTGACCGCTCTCCGTGGGCACATGTGTCCAATCCGGGTGCAGGGATGGGGACTCCAGGACTAGCCGAAGGCAGGTTCCCGGGCTCTGCTCTCCAGTGTCTCCACATCCAGGAGGGACGATGACAAAGAATCTCCGTGTGACGGCGGTGCTGAGGCGGGGGCAGGATGAAACTCCTTCACTCGTTTCTGGGACCACGTTCAAAACCGGCTTGGCAGCCGCGCTGGGGTGGCGAGTGGGCAGGAATAGGAAGCTGGAAATGCAGGGGCGAGGAAATCCGGTGGGAGGTGACAAACCAACACTGAGCACATGAAACTGCCGAACCTGGTGAGCAGACACCACCCCGTTTGGTAGTGGGAAGGGAGAGCCGACAGGGAGTGTTCATTCCCCGAAAATTACGAAGGGCCGTGGGTGGGAGAAATTCCGCATCTGCTCACCAATACCCCTCTTCAGGGGATACGTGAAGAGCTGTTCTAAACTGTCATGAAAAACAGGAAAAACTGCTAGTGGTTTCTAGGTGGCTACCTCGATGCTTTCTTAACAATGAAGACAGAAATTGTCCCGCCGCTGTGGCTCAGTGGTTGAGCGACGACCCTGCACCAAGAGGTCGTTGGTTCAATTCCCGGTCAGGGCACATGCCCAGGTTGTGGGCTGATCCCCAGTGGGGGGCACGCAGGAGGCGGCCAGTCGATGTTCTCTCTCATCGATGTTTCTATCTCTCTCTCTTCCTCTCTCTCTAAAATCAATAAAGAAAAAAAATAAAAATAAAAATGAAGACAGAAATTGGAGGAAGAGTATGACGTTGTCTTTAGGGTGCACCTTTGACTGTTGGCCGTAGTGAACATGGGTGCGATTGGTAGATGGAAAAATGAGGAACATTCTGTCCCAAGCTGGACCCCAAAGTGTTGGTCCCCCGAGGAGCCGCCAACAGCTTTGCTCACCGGAGGGGCAAGTTCAGGACGGGCGTCCACTCTCCCTGACAGTGTCCTGAAGACACTTCTCGTTTAGGGGACTTAACTGCTCCGTCCCATCAGGATGAGGATCCAGAAGAGAAAGAGACACAGCGGAAATGAACACCACCTGTTCTTACGCGTTGAAAGGACACCGTTACCCTTTTCTCTCCCCTCTTCCCTTCCCCGAATGTCCAGACCTGCTGTTTCTGAAAACATTACTTTGTACAAGACCGTGTAAAACAGAGTCTTCTTTATCCCTTCCTTTCAGAGCCAGCGGCTGCTGCCACAGAGGAGACTCTTTCCTCTACCCTGTGAAGTTATACGTACAAGCAACTTAAGTGAAGAGTTGTGTTTGCTTGGGAGGGGTTAGAGCCCATAAACGGATACATTTTTAACTCTGGTCTCAGGGTCAAGAAGGACATTTTTCGGTGCGCTGTCTACACTCCCGGCCGCCCTGAACATGGCTCGTTGGACTGTCTTGGCCAAACCACTGCCCAGGCTGAGAAGCGAAGCCAGTTGTCCGTCTGCTCACTGCGGTGGAGTCATTAGCGAGTCTGGGACGGCGTGAGCGAGACCGTGCTGGGACAGCAGAGCTCACTGGCCACGGGCCCGCCGAGGACAAGAGGGAGAACTGAAGGTCGGCGGCACGGAGCGGAGTGGGAGGCGGAACAGCCCCCAGTCTCTGCTGTCCGCCACCCCGGGCTCAGCAGGCAGATGCGCATCCCAGTGTCCGTGCAGAGGCCGCGTCCCTGGCGTTCCTGCAGCTTGTGTGTGCTCCCCAGCCTGCCCGTCTCCGCCCGCTCCCTCCACATTCTCAAGGACGACGGAGGAATGGGCTTCCTGTCCTCTTTAAAAAAAAAGACCCGAGCGTCCCGGCTGGTTTGGCTCAGTGGTCAGAGCGTCGGCCCGCGGCCTGGAGTCCTGAGTTCCATTCTGGTCAAGGGCACGTGCCAGGCTGCAGGTCGGTGCTCGGCTCTGCCTGGGGTTGTGCGGGGGCAGCCCGTCGGTGCATCTCTCACATGTGTCCCTCCCTCTGTCTCCTCCGCTCTGTCTGAAGATAAATGGGTAAAAACTATCCTCGGGTGAGGATTTTTTTTTTTTTTTATCCTCACCCGGGGATATTTTTCCATTTTTTGTACAGATAGAGCGGGAGGGAGAGAGAGGAAGAGAGAGAGTGAGAGAAACATCGATGTGAAAGGGACACATCGAGTGGCTGCCACCCGCACGACCAACCAGGGCCGGGGACAAACTGCAACCAAGGTACGTGCCCTTAGCGGGAACCGAACCCGGGTCTCTCCAGACCGCAGGCCGACGCTCTAACCGCTGAGCCAAACCGGCCAGGGCTCGGGTGAGGATTTAAAAAAAAATAATGACCTGTGCTCCACTCTTCGAAAGAGGGCTGTGCCATCTCCTCTGCCTCCTCATCAGTGTCAGGATCTCCACTTGGCACGGTGTAAGTGTTGCTCGTACGTGCTGGTTGGTGAATGCTGCTATTCCGTGTGCTCCAGATATATTTCAAGTCCGTAAGTAATTTTAAACAACCCCGCCCTTCACTTCAGGTTCGATTTCCCTCCCTCTCCCCACTCAATTTTTCTGGTACCTTATTTTCTCACAGAGACTGATGATAAATGACACTGAACAAGAAGGAATAAAGATCAAATGATCAATAACATGATGAAAGGATGGGACTCTGCAGATAGGTAGTGAGCTGCCAGCATAATGCAAGTTTAAGATTTTCTGGGGAAAAAAAAAAGTTCTATATATAAAACTACCTCCCAAAATGCTCTGTTACTCTAGTTCAATTTTTTCATAAGGACTTTCTGAAAAAGTATATATTTTAACGGCCATAAATTATTAAACTGCTGCACAGCCGGTGTGGCTCAGCGGTTGAGCGTTGACCTGCACCAAGAGGTCACGGGCTCGATTCCCGGTCAGGGCACATGCCCAGGTTGTGGGCACGATCCCCAGTGGGGGGTGTGCAGGAGGCAGCCAATCGATGTTTCTATCTCTCTCCCTAAAATCAATAAAGAAAAATTATATTAAACCGCTTAGGCAAGCAAGGTATTCAGCACGACACAATCGTTACCGAGGTGAAATAGGGCTTTTATGTGATGGGATAAAAAAATAACTAAAAGGTTGGTGGCTGGAAAAATGGGAGGCGTGAAAACTTGGCCTGGTTCAGCACCCTGCTCTCAGTGAGGATCTCTGAAGACACAGGGGAAATGCACAGCACTCATCTGAGGAAGGACGTAGAGATGGGGTAACGAACAGAAATCTCCACCATCAGAAAAGTGGACCACTTAGAGGTTTGCCTGGGTTGGCTGTATTCCTAAATTTCAATCACCGACAGATATGATTTTTTAATCACAAAAGTATCACTTGAAAGTCACAGAAACCAATAACTCAGTGAGTTCATAATTAATTATTTTGGGCCATGACATTGCTTATCTAGGTGCATTTACTTAGAAGAAATCTGAAGTCCTCCTCATCCACTCGTGGTCTAAGGGAAGTTCTAGAATATTGCCGGCATCAAAAACCTGAGTGGGTCGTTTAATTCTCTCTGATCATATGTCCAAGAACTACCCAAGAACAATAACAAGAAGACAGCCTACTTTAAAAACATTTTTTTTCTTTATTGATTTCTAGAGAGAGAGGAAGGAAGAGGGAGAGAGAGAGAGAAACATTGATGAGAGAGAA